AGCATATATATATATAAATGTCTGTCTATGTATGTGTTCATTAAAGACCATATTGTGTCCATCCGATCGAAAGCAAAATAAAATTTCACGTACAGATAGCTCGAAGCACGAGGAAGGTTACTGTCAACATTAGAACATTCTATGACAAACCGTTTGAGCGGGATGAGAGAAAGACGAAATGGAATTTTCTGATTATTTAACCATTAGCCTTTGTTTTAAATTTAGCTACATAGAATTCAATTTGTTAAATGTTATTAAGATGTCATCATAATATTTGCTTGCTTAGAAAAAAGTTTATTGCACGTACTTCAATATTTAATTATTTTCTGTTCGCTATGCCGGATAAACTCAATGAAAAACATTAATGTGGTAGCATATGTGCACATTACGTCACCATAGTTATCTGATAAGATATGTTTATTTTGTTTTTAGTAATTCATTTAAAATGTGTTTCTATATAAGAAAATAATTTAAAATTAAAGGTAATCTAAATGGAAAAAAAGTAGTAGCGCATTCAAAAGCAAAACTAATGGAAAAAGTGGAATTAACTAGCTTTAGAGAAACGTAATAAATCGTCATACTATTATTGATGACAATGATGCTTAATTAATGTTGATAATATGTATTATTTAGAATAAAAAATATAACCTATCTACTTAAAAGTAAAGCTAGTGGTGAAAACATACTTTTTGGTTTTTGGGAACATTACTATTTGCCATATTATTATATATATCTATCATTAAATATTGATAATATGTATTAATTGTAATAAAAAAATAAGCTGCCTGATAAAAAGCAAAGTCATTGCAGAAAAGATTAATGGGAAATTCGTTTAGAGGAAACTGTAAAAAATCGTCATACGCAGATGACGCTTAATTAATTTTGGTAGTATGTACTACTACTGGTACTATGGTAATTGGGGCAGTTTTAATAAGAATTCTACAACGAGTTTTTCGTAGTTTCAGAAGATATTTGTGGACATTACATCACCAAAGTTATCTGATAACGTATGTTTATTTTGTTTATAGTAATTCGTTTAAAATGTGTTTCTATATAAGAAAATAATTTAAAAAAAGTAGCATATTCCAGAGCAAAATTAATGGAAAAGTGGTATTAACTCGCTTGAGAAATACGTGAAAAATCGCCATATTATTACTGACGACAATCATGCTTAATTATTGTTAATAATATGTATTAATTGAAGTAAAAAAATAACCTATCAACTTAAAAGCAAAGTTAGTGGGGAAAAGACACTTATTCGTTTTTGGGAGCATCATTACTTGCCATATTATTATACATATCAATCCTTTAATATTGGTAATACGCATTAATTGAGATATAAAAAATAGCTACCTGCTAAAAATCTAAGTTAGTGGTGAAAAGATTAATGGGAAATTCGTTTAGAGGAAACTGTAAAAAATCGCCATACACAGATGACGCTTAATTAATTTTGGTAGTATGTACTACTGGTACTATGGTAATTGGTGCAGTTTTAATAAGAATTCTACAACGAGTTTTCCGTAGTTTCAGAAGATATTTTTACAGTGGTATCAAAGATAGTGCATTTAATATAGTATATAGTGTATTAGGATTAGAAGAACTTCCTCCATCACTACTTATAAGTGTTTAAATTGTAAATATAGGTAAGATAAAAAAAAGTATCATGATCCAAATCCTTATCAAAGTCTTCTAAGAATTCTATTAGTTTTTAAAATTTCAGCTTTAGTTTACTCTCACTGATAAATGTATTTCGCACAAAACTCAAATGTTAAAGAATTATGCAATAAATATACTAATATCGATATAAAGTATTATAATTACATATTTGGTGATTATTCAAAACTGCACCAATACTTAGCTGTTTTAATATCGATACTGCTGAAATCAGTATCTTACTCTCTCTTGAAAGGGATATGTACCGGAAAAAATTACTTGATAGCTGTAAAATTTGATTTTCATGAGTTGGCCACGAGCAATATAATCCCGCCAGGTGATGCTGTTTATTTCTGTTCCGACGGGATGAACTGAAAAAACTGTGTTTTGCTTAATATAATAACGTAAAGCCACCGAGAAGGGAAGCAAATAATAAGAAATAAATGAAAATTAATTTATTTTAGCTCTAGCAATTGAAAATTTAAGTAGAGAAACCAAGTAAGGGACATTTTCAGAGAGACTATAATCAGGGTAAGAGGAAAAATGGAAGTCTAAGAACTATTTTATTACCGATATATTAAAAAAATTGAACTAAAAATTATAATTAATTTACCACTGCTTAATTTAAAAATAAAAATAATGCATACATATTAAAAATTTATGTGAATTAGTCACGTTAAGATCAAATTGAAAGCAAAAATAATTTTGTTACATTAAATATACCAATATTGATGCAATTACTTTGTTATTTTCACTGATTCGTAAATATCCCTAAAATGTCACTTGCCTTATTTTTCCACCCTGTACGTAGAATAGGTATTCAGATAATAGTATATAAATTTCTTACGTTATAAGTTTTATTTCGTGTGTTATCTTTTGTATAAATTTTCATAGTATCAAAATTTTTCTTATGTACTATAGAAATTTAATTTTTACAGCTTCGGCATATTTTCGAAACTAATAGAAAAACCGGCAATAAAATGATTAAAAATAAAATAAATAAAAAACTTATTGCTTATTATGATGTATATAATGTTTGACAACAAGATTTATATTTTTTATGTTAATTTTTTTCCAATGGCAGGCACTGAATTTTTTAATCTTTACCTATGAAGATGCCAGAATTGTTACTCATTTAGCGTTACCCAGTGGGCACCTGTGAACCAAAGTCACGGAGACGAGCAACATTGCCCACGCCACACTGCTACATACCCGTTTATAGGGTGGGCCACATTCACACATCACATACACACAACAGAGGACAGCACAAAGAGAGAGAGAGAAACATCCATGCCCAGAGCGGGATTCGAACCCGCAGCCAATTGCTTCGCAGTCAGGTGCGCTAACCGCTCGGCCACCTGGCCGACTTTCATATTATTATTTATTATATTTATACAGCAGGATTATTATTATTTTTACAAACTCTCGAAACTTTAGATTATTATTAATTTCTAAACTTGATTATAAACTTGATTACAATATGTAAGTTTCAAGGAAAAAAAATGGAAATATTATTCTTCAGCATGTGGGAAGACTTCGTCAACCCGCCAACAATGAATGATAAATTATCATTAGAAACAAATTATCCATTATAATCCACTATATTATAAGAATTAATATACACATTATCTATCCATAATAAAAATTAAACTAATCTATCTAATTATTATCTACATCACTGAAGAAACATATTTTAGAAACATCATTTGATATTTTATTTTACTCTGAAATAATATTAAGCACTGTTGTTCATTTAGGAAGAATACTGAAAATAATTAAATGACCATTTTTAACAAAAAGAAAATTTTAAAATGTAACTTTTACAAAACTCACCATGCCAATGTTGATTACAGATTTTATATTGATGTTGTAGCATCTAAAAATAAAATGCTTCAAGTTAACACTTATTTTATTATTACCAAAAAAAGTCAACAAAATAATATTAAGGTCAAAAACTGTAAATAAATGCAACTAACACTCGATATGCATTGCAATATGTTCTTGCAAATGTAAAAAAAATTCCAATATGTCAGCTACTATGATTTAATGTATTTAATACAAAATAGCTTGTTGTGAAAAAGTTCTAAAAAAATTTTAAAAAAAGTTAAATTAATTTCTAAAAAATAAATGAAATAATGCCGCAACCCAGTTTAGGGCAAAAATGGAAATGCAAAATAATATAGATGCTTTGTTATGAAATTGAGTTTTTTGTGCTAATCATAATAAAATTGTGCCAATCAAAAAAATTTCTGGAACTTAATACTGAGAACTTAATTAGTTAAGAAAATTTTATCTAACGTATATATTGTTGAAAACATTAAAGTCTGACATTGTTTGCTTCAATTTTAAATTAAAAATAAATAATATAATGACCCATCTACATCTGCTTCAGATAGATTGTCATTAATTTCTGGGCCAATCACACCAGCATTATTGACCAATAAATCCACGTCTCCAACATCTTGTAAAGCAGTTCTTGTTGCTTCCCAGTTTCCAACATCCAGACATATTGTTTTAATATTGGGAATCTAAAACCAAAAAAGAAATTATCATTAATATTTGAAAAATAAAACAAAAACATATTTCTCATACAATATCTGTATTAAAATTAACAGCAACAAATAACTCCAAGTACTGAACCACATGCAACTACAGGTTAGAGTTTGTTTCGTAATTTATCTGGTCAAAGTAGAGCTGAGCCATGATGATCTTGCCCGAAGATCCTCATTCACTTATCTGTTACATTATCTTTATTTATGAAACCGCAGGTTAGAGTTTGTTTCGTAATTTATCGGGTTTAAAGTAGGATTGAGTAATGATGATCTTGCCCGACGATCCTGATTCACTTATTTGTTACGTTATTTTCGTTTATAAAATTGTTTTATAGATGGATTTTCGGTTGTACAATGGAAGATTTCATTAGTACGAACTTTTAAAATATGCCTTAAACAAATATATTTTAGCATAATATTAAATACCAATATAATGCTATTGTTCAAAGTAAAAATATGTAAATGCTAGACTTTTGAATTTCGAGTCTTAAGTAAAAGTTACTATCATAAAATCTCAACAGAAAAAAAAATAGTGCGTGGAGTCCCTCCGCGCGGAAGACGTTAAACTTCGCAACCTGCGACGTTAATTGTAGAAGAATCAGCAGTCGTAGAAGGATCACTAGTTCTATTCAACGACTCTTTTTCCTGCTCCGCTCGCTTCCGTGCTCTGTAATCACGGTAATATTTTGCATTTTTCTCTCGTGGACCTCTTGAGCCAGTGAAAGTGCTTGTGGTTGCCTCATCGTCTCGCCCTGTAAAATGTATTTGCATTAATAATGTATGTGAATGCGTCATAATGTAATTTCAGAAGAGAAAACCTAACAATGAATTGATATTCACAAGAGACGTAAATTGACATAACCTTAAATCCGTCGCATTGTCCGTGGGATTGTTTTCACTCATTTTTTACAATTGTTATCCACTAAATTTGAAAATAAAAAATACTACCCTATTAAATTATATGTGTATCAAAACAAACTAAAAAAATATTTATAGAAAAACAATACTTCTATTATTTTTATGCTAGTGAGAACCAAAACAATATGGAAATGGATGAGGGAAAACTGGATTCTACCACGTGATTTCCCGGCCAATAAAAATGTAGTGTTAAACGTTTAACGCAACCTTGTTGGAAGTCGCATAAGAAGTATAACTTCAAAAAATGGAAGCAAATATTCATGTACATCTATTTCCTACTAGGTAGTCCTGATCAATAGCTGAAAGAGACTTGCAATGCACCATTGGAATGCTAGTTCTCAAAAGGGGATCAATTTAAACTTTTCATTGGAGCAAGTTTTTCATTGAAGTAAAGTTTTCGTCAAATTATTCCATAAAAACAAAATTTTATCTTGGAGTTGATCCATCAATGTGGATGATTCTCTATGACCATTGATTTAGATAATATTTTATGAGCCATGGATTTTGTTTCGGTTATTCTGAAATAGTTATTTAAGCCATTGGCGAAATCGAGCTAATGTGCACTATGTCCCTATCTAATAACAGAAAAACCGGTTTTGCTATACGGAGAAGACTGCATGCTAAAATGCGATTTCTTACTTGCAGAACCATCAGTGGGTTAAGTTATTTAAAAACTTTTTTTTATATCAACCACTGCCTATTTGTTGTGTTCTTTCAAAAACTAATTTAATATAAATACAGTCTTTCAAAGCTATTTTTCATTTAAGTTGTTGATCCGAGTGAGCCATACTTAGTTTGAAATATGTGAAAGGAAATAGTAACAAATGAATGTTTTTTCTTTTACATTAAAATCTATGCATCGTAATTATTTTCTACAGTATACTGTATATGACTGTTTAACTCTTATTCAAATGGGTATTCCAGTTCTCTTGGTCGAATTAGTTTCAAAGTCATCGATAAATGAAAGTTAATTGTACATGTAACATCATTTTAGTTGCGGAAAATAATTCCAATTTTTTTTTAAAAGTAATTTTTACCGTTGAAACTTTTAGTTTTATATTATTATTCTAAAGCAAGAAATATTTTTAAAAAAAGTCATTTATATATTTAATGTTGACTTACTATTTTTGATAGCTCATCTAGATCAGCCGCTGTTCTACTGACAGCAATAACTTGAGCTCCCAATTCAGCTAACTTTAATGTGACGCCTCTTCCAATTCCTAATTTGTTAAAAATAAACAGTGCGATTGTGAGCTTTTATGCTATAAATATTATCAACATTTTACATTTTCTTAAATAAAACTAAAAATTTTGAAATGAATGCTTTTTTTTAAAATTTGAGATAAAGTGCAAAAACCCAATATTGAGTTACATCTTCCATAACCTGACGTTCTTAGTGTGAAAACTTTAAATCTAGTGTTATAGAACAGATACAGCATATTAACAACAGATAACAGCTACGTGTGTGAAAGTAAGCATACTTTTTTCGATTATATACGAGTTTAATAATTATATGGTAAGAAATGGATATTCAAAAGTCATGAGAGTTTCTTCGTTTTCTTTTCTATGCTTGAAGATGCTAGTTTTATCAAAAGAATTTTGCCCAATGTAACATAATTGTAATATTGATTAACAGAATTTTCCCCGGAGGTGGTTTGAAGCTCACCCTGCTTCAGACCGATGGGCATGAACTTGTCTCGGAAGTAAAGGCGGCCTGTGCGTGGTGCTGACCCCATTGCCATAATAATGACGTTGGTCACAAAATCTACAAGCCTTGAATTCTATGACCCCCTAGCTATCAACGGGCTGTTTCTGTATAGCTTTACTTTTTAATTGTAAGAGACATGCTCCATAAAAATAAAGGATGAGAGCATGAGTTCCCTGCTGTTAACAAAATCAGCGAATTCTGCTTGACATCCTGCAATAATAACTGTACCATCTCAACATACAGTTAAAAAGAAATTTAAATTAGATAAAGCATTATATAGAAATCGTAGACTGCACTGAGAAAGCGAATTAAAAATTAGGTAGCTGTTTATCAAACATTTGAGAGTTTACATTTTGTTGAAAACTACCTAATTTTGTGACAAAATAGCTGCAAAGTTCCGCTCAAGGATTGATGAATCGTCAAAAACAAGAACTTTATTTCTAACAGTGTAGTTGTCGTATATAATCATTGCAATTCAAAATAAATTACAATTTCACTTTTAATTACAAAGAAAGAAAATTCAGATTAAATTACAATTTATTCAGACATTATTAAACAGTTGAAAATGTGCTTACCTTTACCAGCTCCAGTTACTAATGCTCGTTTCCCATCAAATCTAATATTCATTTTTTAGAGTTTATTTCTCTGAAATCAGGTTTCAGATTCTTGTAAAACCTATTCTACTGCTTTCTGTGGAAAGAGTACTAGAAATATTACTTATCTAATCGATCACTGTTGAAAGATGAGGACGAATTAATTGAAATAAAATAAGGAAACAGAATGACCTTCTATACAAAGCAAAAAAAAAAGATATAAAATAAAACAAATGAACAAATATATAAAAAAGAGAAATAGAATAACCTTCAATGAGAATAATTAAATAAGCAGTCTAATCTCGAGCAAATGTCAATTCAAAAATCATCATGTCAGTTCTGTCACATTGCTTATTTTTTATCAAGGAGTTAAGAAAGGATCAGATTTCATACGTACAAATGTATGAAAAGTTACCAAAACTATTTTTCATGAAATATTAGCCTTAACTAGTGCTTCATTTTTAATTACCGTCATATTTAAGACTTACTTTCGACGGTTTTCAAATTTAAACAGCTGCTAATTTTAGAGCATTTACTCTGGATATTAATTGTTTTAAAACTTGTATCAACATTTTACTTTAAGATGAATGAAAAGTTTTTGAATCACGTATGTTAAAGGAAAAAAATATTGTGGTTTAGGCTAGCCAACAATATGGCGGTATGGTTTAAAATTCATTATTTGGCTAACTAAATTAAGTTTTTTAAGTTAAAATTTAAATAAGTGTAAGGTAAAACATTTATTTGTTGAGAAAGTTTGTTCTCTCGCGTTTTTATTTCAAAACGTTTAGATCCTAAGTAATTTATGTAATTATGTAAGTTTGTCATTCTAATTTATGTGATGATATTAAAGATTTCAAATAATTGGATACACAATTAATTTTTTTATGTATATATA